ATGTTACCATTAAATATTTTTATATTTACACAATTTACATTAGTTTCATTGTTTTCAGAACATGTTGGGTATTGGGGAAATTTCAATTTACTGTATGCTTTTTAAAAAAATTACAAATAAGTGATAAATTTTATACACATTAATAATTAAAATTATAAAAAAAAAAATTTCATTAATCTGCAATAATTTTTTGGTAATACCATTGACAAGTAATTTTTCATTCGGTATAAAAGAATGGAATAAAACGTGAGAATAAATATAAAATTGAACGAATTGGAATGTCTATTCACATTCAACTATTTGGTTTTCATCATGTAATGATGTAACAATTGAATGATAATTTAGGTTCTCGTATTTAAATATATCTATTAAACTTATGGAATGAAACTTTTTTTTTCAACAAACATAGAACTTTTTTCGGGAAAACATTTTTTAATGTCTGATTCATTCTTGAAACTAAAGTATTAGTGGTTGTTTTCGCTTGAGATGTGGGTTAATTTTTTGACTATTTTAACTTGAGACTAAAAAGTCTCGTTTGAGATAAATTTTTTAACTATTACAAGAAAAAAATAAAATAATTATAATTTTAATATTACACTGTATTTATTAGAACTCGAGAGAGTTCGATGTCATTAAACAAAATTGTTATTATTATTGAGAGATATTGATGCTAAATAGGTGGTACTTTTCTGAAAATTGAATTATTCGCAGACAGCTATCCAATATGGAAAAGAGCCAACCAAAGTCTATTGATGTATTTGATTGGATAAAATAAAACAAAAGTGGGGTGATATTGATGTATTTGATTGGAGAAAATAAAACAAAAAGGGGGGTGATATTTTTAAATTGTCTAACTTTTTAAGGCACTAGAGCTTAAACAAATAATTTAACTCTATTACCTTATTAACCTCTTATTACATGAAAAAAATAAATAAATACATTTTAAAACTTATTTTGAATTATTTTTAACTTCATTTTTTTTTCAACTAAACTAAGAAAATAAAAATCATATGACATGGTAAGTTGTACTATTTAGTGGTGTTTTTGTTTTCTCTATTTTCTTTTTAATTTTTATTGTTTTATAAATGAAAAGTTTGCAAATACTCTTTCTTTTTGAGAAATGTAATTTGTCACTAAAATTGTTTTACCTCATGCTTATATTCATACAATAAACTGTATATGTAAAACGTATCATATTTAAAGAAATAGTACAACTTACCATGTGATATTAAAAATCACATAGAAAATAAAAGTTGCTTATATGTAACATTTGATTAATATATTTTCACTATATTGTTTAGTATATTGAGGTTGCTTATCTTCTTTTTCTTAAATTTTGGTTGACTCTTTAAAACTTTTTTAAAAGCTTGTGCCACTTAAACTTTTTAATAACTCCAACTGGCTTGACATAAATTCTCCCTTTGTTATTTAAATTTTTTATTATTTTCTTTAAACTTAGAGTCTAAGGCATGTTGAGGTTGAGCATACATTTTGCCCAACATTTTTTTGGGCAAGTTTCACTTTTCCCTCTTAATTTGATATATATATATATTCAATTTTACCTCATTAATTTTAAAATTCCTTAACAATGTTTTCTTTTTATGGTTCTTGCCCTTCCAATGACACTTTGAAAATACTTTTCCATTTTACCCCTAATTTCTTTGAATAACCTAATTGATGGCTAACCTTTTTTAACTTTTAATTTTTTAATTTTTTATTCTTAACAGAACACATTTTAACATCAAACTTTTTTTTCTTCTTTTTTTCTAACAATTGAACTCAATTAAAATATAGATTCCTTCTATTTTTATAATGCTATTATATTTTATTAAACCTAACAATAGTTAAATCTATTCTTTACAGACAAACGAAAAGAAATACGATGTACGAAAGGTAGGGGTGAGTAAGGAATCCGTGAAATCCGTAATCCGATCCAGTCCAGTCCAATCCGATAGATTTGGATTGGTTTTTTGAATCCGCGGTTTGGTTCCGGATTGAAGATTTAAAAATCCGTAGTACACGGATTGATTCCGGATTGAACCCCATGGTTCCAGATTTGAACTGATCCGAACCGTATACAAATAGTATATATTTTTATTATATATCCTCCCCATAGTATCTTCTCTTTTTCTATATAAAATCTAAACTCAAACCTAAAACCGTATAGCATCTTCTTTTATTACTTTTGTTTGTTAGTTTTTAATTTTAATTTGTAATGGTCTAAATATTTATGGTGAAACTAGTTTTCTTATGGTTGTTTAAATTCTAGAACAGTATATCACTATTATAGAAATATATGTTGCTATTGTGGAACTAATATAACACTGTGTTTATATTTTTATGAAATTAAAGTGTTATATATATTTTTTTGTTATTTAATTATGTGAATCCGTGGTCCTAAACCGATCCAATCCGTATTTAAATGCATTGGTTCGGATTGGTTCCATGATTTAAACAGATTGGATTGGTTCCAATTTTTCAAGAACCGTAGATAACGGATTGGTCTTTGTTTTACCCCAATCCGGTCCAATCCGGACCATGCTCACCCCTAACGAAAGGAAGTCGTACATAGTTGAATTTTTTTTTTTAAGAATTAAATATCTTTTACTTATATGTAAATAACTAAAACAATAACTAGGAATAAAATGAAGAAGAAGAAAAAAATTCCTTCTAACCCCCTTTTATTATGAAAAAGAAAACAACAGTGATGCATACCCCCAGTGGGGGTCGCACCCACAGTGAGGTGTCGCACCCCCACTGGCTCAAATCCAAAAAAAAAAAAAAAAAAACTTTTTAAAAAAAAAAATATATATATTTTTTTTTTGTCAAATGATGGAGTGCCACCTCACTGGGGGTCGACCTCCAGTGGGTGTATGAGGCATTTCTGAAGAAGAAAATGGACACTATTGCTAAAAAGGTGTATTGAGAAACATTTTTTAGGGTAATTTACACTTACCTCTCTCAACATTTGAAAAAAATACAATAAATTTGGCATAGTTATACTAAACTCTTTTAAAATTTTAATTCATATAATATTTAACTCGTTTTTCATCAAAAAAATTTACCATAATTACACTGGACTCCCTATAACACTTACCTCAATTTTCATAATAAATTCATTAGTTGTATTTTTCTTTTCAAAACTCAAGAGAGATAAGTGTAATTTACCCCCCTCACTTTCTTTTTTCTTTTTTTAATATATATAATCCAGCGTATATCCTACTTAGCCCAATTAGATTCGAGTTAAATCTCATATTTGGATAACTGAACACTAACCCCTTAGAGGCTTTGGATTCAAGTTATCCCATATTTGGACAACTGAAAACCAATCCCTAGAGGTCTTAAAGTTAATGACCATGCTAAAGACCTTGGATTTGAGTTATCTCGTATCTAAACAAATTGAGAATTAATTCCTAAAGGCCTTAAAGTTAATGACCAAGCAAAACTCCAATGGCCTCTTGGAAGACTCAAAATCGAGACCTTAAATCTTATTTTTAAGTTTTTATCGCTCAGCCAACCTTTAAAAGTTGTAAACAAGCAAGTGAAAGGAAGAAAGGAAGGGGCATTTTTTGAAAAATGTAAGGGAATTCGAATATAAGGCCTAACTAAGAGGGTAAAAATGAGAATTCCATTAGCTTTTAAATAAAACACATGGAGTAGACAAAACGTAAGGAATCAGAGTCAAATAACTCGTTACTTCCGCATTAAGTCAACTGATCGAAACCGTTCAACATAAATTGAATTGAATTAAAATATAAATTAACAATTTCTTTTGTTGTAAGAGAGACTGTTTCAATGCAACAAATTAAAATTTTATAATAAAAATATTTTGTAATTGAGGGATACGAAAATTTGGAGGCAGACTAAACTCACTGTCCTGTGTCCCAAAATGCTAACAATCATTAGACATTAAAAATCTTGGGATTCAACAATCAAAACATAATCCGTTGGATGAAAATATTTCAACACAGTGATAAGAAAATTTGGAGACAAAGTAATCTCACTATACTCTTGTCCCAAAATATTCACAACCATTAGATCATTAAAAATCTCGAGATGCAATAATCTCAAAACATGATTCAATAAATATAAATGTTGAAGACAATGGAACAAACAAATTTTAAGACGGACAATCTCATGTCCTTGCAAAACAATCAATTGTCAATGATATCACCTCTCACAAAATGAAATAACTTGTTGGTAATCATTTCGTTTTCAATATATATTTATACAAATTTAAAAAATTGTCATAAAATTTTTTTTGATAATTTTTTTAGTTTATAAATGGTTGTCTTAGTTTAAATTTGAGAAAAAAAATGAGTTTACGTTGGTTTTTAAATATAAATTTAAAATTTTGACTAACAATTTTTTTTTTCAAATATATATTTTTTTTAATTAATTTTTTTCCCCAATTATAATGTGTATGATTCCATTGTCATAAATAATAAAAAATAAATATAAATATTTTAGGTTTGAACAAACATATTTTTTAGTTTATATTTTTAAAAATTTTCAAACATTTTGTTTAAACTAAACGCGCTTGTAGTTTATGTTTTTCTAAAAATAAACAAAAATTAATTTATAAAATTTTTGTAAACATAAATAAAAAACGTAAACGTTATCAAACGCTACCTTAATGTTCCGTTTGTTTGGGCGAAAAACATTTCTATGTATTTTTTTTTTCTAGAAAATATTTTTCAATGAAAACATTTTTTTGTATTTAGTGGTAGTGGCGGCAGCGGGAGGACGGAAGTGGAGGTGGAGGGGGGAGGTGGCAGTGACGGCTACAGTGATGGTGGTGTAGTGTTGGAGGCGATAGTGACGGTGGTAGTATGGTGACATTAGTAAAATTTTAGTCCAAAAAACGTTTTATTCTTTTTAAAAGTGAAAAATATTTTCTACAAAAATAGGTTCATTTTCTATTGATCATAAAAAAAATGTTTTCCATTATTGTACCAAACACCAGAAAATACTGAAAACATTTGCAATAGTTTCTCTGCTGCTGTTGCAATCCAAAACAAATAAGATTAAATTCTTTAAAATCGGTCCACAAATATATAACAAATACCACGAGCCAACTATTTTGGTGCTTTGAAAATCACAACAGGGAACTGAAGTCATCATCCTGTTCTTGGCTGCTTAATGCACCTAATCTTTAATTTGTCAACCAAATGATCCACCAAAACCATATGCTCAAAACTTAAAATCTTCTACGCGCTTGCATCCGACACGTCTTGTAAAATGCGTTTCCTTGAAATTACACAATCCACATGATCACTAGCATCGCAACTGTAACAATGGTAAGCCCAGAGTTTAGGGTTCACCTCAGTTTCACAAACATCACAATAGAACTCTTCTGAAATATTAAGATCACTAATGAGCTCAAGAGAGTGCCTCCTGTGTATTCTATGTGCAATGGTATAAGGTAATAAAGCACATTCAGCATGGATAGATGAAACACATCCAACTTGTCCACAATTGAAGCTGGGGCCTAATTCACTGTTAATAGGCTCACCACATGCTCTGCACTCGATGAATCCAAAACGCGAGCAAAAGAAATGGTGTTTATGATGTTTGTGTTTCATAATTGGTACTCCAAAAGCACACTGGACATCAAGGATGACTTCACACGTACAACTGTAGGCATAGCTGGTTATGGGTTTCTTACAAAAATTGCAGGCAGACAAGCCTTCCTCAAATGGTGGTGGTACTAGTGTGAAGGTGTGTTCTGGATGACTTGAGTACTTTTGGGGTAGCTCAGCACATGATTTGTGGAGAAATATTTGGCATTGGGCACAAGAGTAAGATGGAGGAAAGATTACTAGCTTACATATGAGGCAATAAATTTCATCCAAGGGCTCATCCAAGGGAGTTAAAGGATGGTTATGGCCAGAATGTTGGAAACTGCTTGAAATCCAATGGACAGTCACGGTATTATTTTCATCATCATTGGTTTGCGTGATTGCAAAATCTGCAATACATAATGTAACTAAGAATTAATTAACACCATAACAAAATTATGTTTCAAAACCACCATATATACACAGAATAGTACTTGCTGCTACAACCAATGATATACTTAACATATCATGCTTCTACTAAGACTCCTCTCTCATCGCCATTCAAAGTTTCTACAAGGGTTGAATACAACATCTTTTGAACCTCCCAATTCTAGATTAGGTAATTCAATTTTAAATGAAATAATGACCAATATAAATTTCCGCAAATTCAATAATTTTTATGGATTTTTGAGTTGTTTCATTTTTAAAATCAAACATATCTAGTTATCTATTTTTCTAAAATGGCACAATTCACATCTTTGGGACAAGTAAACAGCCACTTATTTACTCCATTTTTCTGTTATTACTCATCCATAGGATGTTCCATGTATAAATTTATCACATTTTCTAAATTTGAAATCCAGCTTATGATTCTGACTCATCCCATACTCATGTATGTTCCAACTTTAGAGACTTGTCTAATTCCATCTCCCTTATCCTTCATTAAAAAGGGTAGAGTACAACGCACCTGTCATATTTGGGTTTGCTGGTTCATCATCATTTTCATTTGCCAGAAGCTTCAATGCATCAGGACTAATAAATAACGGATTGCGAGAGTGGAGTGACGTATTCTTGTTACCGGACAGATAGTAACAGAGTGGTGGCATCTCCGGTGCTTTGATTGATGCTTCTTCACACGAAAGAATAGTGTGGAAATTAGGTTGGGCGTTGGATGCTTTCCAGGATCTGAGCAAATCACTAGCCACACAAATCAGGTGAGAAATATAGTCACATTCTTCACAATGGAAGATCCATAATTCTGGGTCAACTTCCTTGTCACAAATGTCACAGTGAGATTTATCTGAGACAACTGTGGGAGAGGAGGCAAGGGAGAGAGGGTGTGGGTGGCATTCATGTTTAATGCTGCCTGGCAAAGCAAAACACTCCATGTGTAGGTCAAAGTTACAATTGTGAGTGCAGTGCATGCCAAAACCTTGCCCAAGCTCACCACAGGCATCACAACGGAACATGCCTGTAGAATATCGTGGTTCTGAGTCAAAGACAAGATTGTGTTCATGACTGGGATGCAAAAAAGTGCGAGCACAGACCAAGTGGAGGGTGAATTTGCAATCTGCACAATGGAAATTAAATCCATCGATCCTTTCGTCACAGGAATTACACATAACAGGCCTGCCATCATCACAAGGCGCAGTGTCACAAAGAGTTAGGGAGTGTTCGTGAAGTTGGTGTTTAATTAAACGAGGAAATTCGGCGCATGATTTATGAAGGACAAAGTTGCATTGGTTGCAATAGTAATTGAGATCCCAGATGATCCGACCACATCCGGAACAGTTACTCTGGAAGTCCTTTACCTTGCGAGAAAAGCTCAAGGGGTGCAGGTGACTGAAGTGTTCAAGCCATTCCTCTTTCTCTCCCTCCTGCTTCAGCCTCGTGACCCTTGTGACTTGTGTCACACAAAACACATGAGCAATGTAGTCACAACCTTTACAATAGTAGTAATATAATGATTTGTTGCTTTCTGAATCATGCTTCTTTTTCTCTCGCCCCGCATGCCAGTACTCCAAGTGCTGCAGGGGTGGTCCTGCTTCCTCTTCGCATACATCACAGTACACTTGGTCAGATTCCTCTGGAAAAGTATAAGTTAAGGTGAGCACATGGCGATGATGGTGCTTGACACTGGGTGGTATAAAAGCACACTCATGGTGGATGAAAAACTGACAGTTATCACAACCAAAGGTGAAGCCATCAGCAGGATACCCACATGCAATGCAATTGGATCCAGATGCAAATATAGGTTCCAAGTTGCAGAGGCGGAGAGGGTGCTGGTGATTTTCATGTTTCAGAGTGAGAAAGCATTTAAGATGGAGGTTAAATTGGCAGGTTGCACAATGGTAGATATAGCCATGACAACTGTCACCACAATCATTGCAAATGGTGCTGCTGCAATTGGATGGTGGTGATGGCAAAAGGGTGAGAAGATGTTCACCATGAATTGGGTGCATCATGTTCGCGGGCAATTCGGCACACAACTTGTGAGTAAAGTAGTTGCAACGGGTGCAACCGTAACCGCGATCAGACATAGGTGGCTCACACTCAAAAGGAGGAAGGTCACACCTAAAACAAACAACTCCCTCTTTTGGTGTCCACTGACGTCTTAACGGATGCTCATGGTCAGAATCTCCAAACCCCATTTGGATGTTACTGTGAGTAAAGTTCAGAATGTGAAGGACTAGATCACACAATATGCTTTCTGATTTTTGGCAAAAATAAATGGTTAGATCTCTCGCCACCAATTATAATCTCCGAATTGAAAGTGCCTCAAAAGTTAGTGCCTCAGTGGATTTTTCCTTGATTAGTTTGAGCAAACTGGAGAAGGGACCATTTCCACTCCTTTATAGCAAAAAGATCACAATGCCCTTAATCATCCAATGGGTTATCGTATGAATCCTCTTTCTTTACTTGTCCATCTGTGTGTGAGTTTCCCAGTCACTCATTCTGTATCCCTTCTTGTCCACTGCAAGAATCAAACAATCAACTCGGTGTGATATGACTGTAGAATTTCGTCTCAAAATTTTGTTCTTTATTGCTGTTAGCATATGAAAGATTTACTATTGATCATTGGAGTAGCATCACATAGAGAATAGCATATACATACTGATCGTTTGGAGTATCAAATTTCTATGTAATTAAGGTGCGAACTCCTGATGCAATCGTAATACATTCTGAAAGATTAAAACATAGAATTTTTTATGAGAAAATTTTAGAAGATCCACTCAAGCTAGAAATGCTGAAGGGCACCTAAAGGGATACAGATGAAGGAAATATATGGTGGTACATGGTATATATATAGTAACCTAAAGATAATAATTCAGGAAGTGAATATAATAGCTAAACATAGACAATGTTGAAGGAGATATTTGGGGGCATTTGGTTTCTCAAAAAAAAAAAAATCTTAGACTGTGTTTGATTAGGGGATTTGATGAGAGAAATAAAAAATGAAAAGGAAATGCAATCCCGCTTTTTGTTTGGTTATAATGAAAAACAAAGGGGAAAAGAAAGTGAGAGAGAAATGAATTATGAGAGGGATCGTCTAGAACTTCATTTCCTTTATGTATGTGAGAAAATAAAATGGAAAAGCGGGAGGAAAAATATATTGGGCTCAAAACAGAGAGGATTGTTCTGGCAAATTCAGCACCCAAAAAAAAAAAAAAAACACAAAATTGCTCTCATCACACAAGTTTTTGGGTCATCATAAGAGTGATAGTGAAAAATGACAAGAAAATATAAGAAAGATGATTTCTTTTCTTCCTCCAATTCCCATCTCGACCAAACATAGTTTGGAATTTGAATCCTATCAATTCTTTCTTTTTTTTCTATTTTCCTTTCTTTTCTATTTTCCTCATCAAATCCTCCCATGAAACACATCCTTACAAGATCAAGAAACTATTAACTAATAAAATTATGAAATTTGTCTTCTTTTATTTAAAAAAGAAAAGAAAAGAAAAGAAAAGAAAAGAAAAGGTGCCAATTAATAGCATAAAAATATGACATGCATGCATAATTTGTGGGTGGTGATGACATATATATTTAGGGAAATTCATTTAGTTAACATTCATTGAATCTAGTTTAACATAATTTGTGTTCTAATACATACAGCTGATCTCATATACTTTAATAGAAACCAAACAACTGGGCAATAAGGTCTCTCCTCTGATACTCACACCAGCCAGTAAAGGCACTCCATTTTCATGTTTTTTAGTTAACACATTTTCTCAAACACTTGACAGGCTCAAATTTGTAACCCAAACCATGCACATCAAGAGAGAGAGAGAGAACAAAAGGTAGTGGGCAAAAAAATGCTCTTGTTATTAAGCAAAATCATCAACACAACACATCAATTTTCACAATCTCTTGCAATGAAAAAAAAAAAAAAGAAGAAAGAAAAAAGAAGAAAAACAAAAAAGAGAGATTAATTTCTGAATACAAACTAAAGACACAGTAGATCCAAGTAGAAGGAAAATGGTAGAAGAAGTGAGAGGAGATTTGACTTACAATTATTACATAGAGTGGTGGATTTTGACAGGAGCAGAAAAGGGTGAAGAAATCAGCATAGAATAGAAGAGGAAGGGAGTTGATTTGATTCGTTTCGTAGTGGGGAGTTGACTTGATTCGTTTCTTCGTAATAGAGTAGAGTAGTACAGCTTTGCTTCAGTAAGAAGGTAATATACCAACGTTGTCGTTTAAGTCTGCCACAGGAGGTTAGAAGTGTTCCTAGCAGGAGTGTTGCCTGCTGCCCGAAATTTGCTCGTGGCTTGGGATGGATCCGGCTCCATTAGGTCTGGATTCGAGTCCAGTCCGGTCTGAAATCTTAGGTTAGACCATTATTTTGAAGTCCAATTTAGCTCGTGAGCTTGGCCCAGCCCTGTCCATCAACTCGCTCAAGACCTACTCAAAGTCCGGCTTGTCCAAATAAAATTTTGATAAAAAAATAGAAACAAAAAATGTTCAAGCCCTGCCTAAGCCCAGGCCCAGGCCTATTGACCTGGCTTGAGGCACGCTCATTGCTCGAATAACTCCTGAGCTTGGGCTTAATTTTTTGACCTGTGAACCGAGCCGGGCCAAATTTTGGTGGGAGCCCACGAGGTCAGACATGGGCAGATTGGAGGTTAGGCCAGGGTGGGCTGGGCTAGGCCAGGCCGGGCCGGGCCAAATTTACACCTCTTGTTGCTAATGGTAGTTGTTAGTTGGAAAGTTAGAGTAATGCTACAGACTCCAAAAGTTCTATCAAAATTTTTACCAAATGTTTTATAAGAGTGTGGAACCCACACCATGTGAGTCCCACACTCATGAGACATTTAGTAAAAATTTTGGTAGAACTTTTGGGATTCCTAACATTTTTTGAAAAGTCATTGGATACTCCTAGAATATGACTACTTGGTGCTCCAAGATTGATGGAAAAAGTGAGACCTATAATTTTATATTAAGTGATTGAGGAACATGTTGAATAATGATTAATTGATGAAACATCTGAGTAAGTGTTGGAGATACTCTTAATCATTTAAATTTGATGAAATACGTCTATTTTTTTTTTTGGTACTCCAACCATGGTATCAAACCCATATCAAACGAAGGTGAAGTCAGATTTTTTTATCAAATTAAGGGAACGTTTAACTTTTCGTCAAATTTTGCAAGTGACAGTTGGTGGACGACCAGGTAAACGACCGGCTAGTCAACCAGGTGGATGATCGACGGGACACTCGAGTGGATGACTAACTTGGAGAAGTTTTATTGAAAATTTGCTCATAGACAGACGACCGATCGAATGACATCGGCTGGATGATTAGCCAAATTTGATAAAACGATTGGAGCGTAACATATTAGATCAAACTTTTACTCAAATTTGATGAAAAATTTGAATAAGCATTGGAGATACTCTAATGAAGGAGTATGGATATCCAATAATTTTCCTTGTTGTCCTAGTATTACCTCTGTTTGTTTTGACGTCAAATTTTTTTTTACTCATTTTTCAGTGTTTGGTTGAAAAAAAGCAAGTAAAATATTTTTTAAGAAAAATATTTTTGCATTATTTTTTTAGAAATGACTTACCATTAAAAATTTCGTAAGTCAATATTTAAAAAGTTGACTCTCACTCGTTGCCTTTTCAACATATTTAGCCTTTTGAAATAAGTATCTAAGCTCACTAAAAAGTCATAAATGATATTTTATTAAATCAAAATTTCTCTTTTAGGCAATAAATATTTTGTTTCAAGTGTCAACCAAACACCGAAAAATAAAGATATTTAAAAAAAAAAAAATCAAATAACAAAAAAAAAAATTATATAAAATATTTTATATCAAAACAAACCGAACCGTAATTCTTCACTCAAACTTATATTATATATTGCATTTAAAATTTCAGTTAAAATTATCGCTGAGTGGTTGATTCAGTGCTAAAAGCTTAAATTTTGGATTTGAAGATTCATAGTTTTTTTTTTTTTTTTAGATTAAAAAAAACAAAAATTAAAATAACTCAAATATTCTAGATTTCATGACCCAGATTTATACTAAAGTTTTACTCTATTTTTTATTCAAATCAAAACAAAATCAAATATTTACTTAAAATGTTAAATTATACTGACATTTCATGAGATTCAGAGATGATTATATTATATTTTCTTAAAAATTTTAATTCATATAGCACTTGGTTCCATTTTTATCATAAATTTGTTAATCATATAAATAAAAAAATAATTTTGTCATCTTATTTACACTGAAATATATATTTTATCTTATTCATCTTTTTGTTTTCATACTATCTACATCAATTTCGATATTTTTAACCTTGTTGGTGTAATTATGTTAAAATTATGGGACTTATTATATTTTTTCTAAACTTCAAAGGAGGTTAATGTAATTTACCATTACTTAAAATATCCAAAACTTATGCTATTAGCGAAACATTTACTTAAATTTGAATTCCGTTAGAGTGATTCATATCAAATAAATTTTTTATTCGAATTTGTGTAAATTTTTGTGTGATACCTTGAGGTGGCCTTAATGTGCCTAGCTATTGATTGAGGTGTGAAAAATGAAATCGTTACAAATGGGTAAAATTTATCCCTTGAAAGGACCAAACTGTCTCTCATCTTCCCTTCACACTCCACATTCTCCTCCTTTTCCCACTACAACTCCAGTTATTGACCATTACTACCATTCCCTTCCTTGTCACCCCCAACCCTTCCCCACCTTCCCCTGCTAGCCCCACCACCATCGCCACCCCTTCCCACTAAACAAACACGCCCCAAACTCCAACTACTGCAGCCATCCTTAACCTCTCAACACCTTTCTCTTCGGGACCTCATATCTCCACTGCTATAAAATAAGGCTGGATATAGGTGTAAGTTTTCTGAATAAAACTGTATATTAGTCTTGAATTCAATTGAACAAAGAATACATACATCATTTATATAGAGTACCACTATATAGAGTACCACTAATTCCTAATCCTACATGAACACATTACTGAGATATATAGAAGTCTAATAGATATAGGACACTTATTCCTAATCCTAGGAGAACACATATTCTCACACCCCCGCTCAAACCCAAGGTGTTTTAGCAGAAAACATTGAGAGTTTGTCAAGAAAGAACCGAAATCGAGCAGTGGTGTGCGTCTTAGTGAAGAAGTCAGCAAGTTGCAGAGCCGAAGAGACAAAAGGAAGCGAGATAAAGCCAGACTGCAGATGCTGACGGACGAAGTGACAATCAATCTTAATATGCTTTGTCCGTTCATGGAAGATAGTGTTATGAGCAATTTGAATAGCACTTCGGTTGTCACAATAGGGAGAGGTCGGGGAAGTTTGAGGGACGCCCAACTCAGATAAGAGATTACGAAGCCAGACAATTTCAGCAGTAGCATGAGCCAGAGCACGATACTCAGCTTCGACAGTAGAACGGGCAACAACAGTCTGTTTCTTGCTTTTCCAAGAAATAAGGGAATCACCAAGAAACATACAGAAACTAGAAGTAGATTTACGATCATTAACATCACTAGCCCAATCAGCATCAGCATAAGCCACCAAGTCTAAGGAAGAAGTAGAAGAGAACAGCAAGCCCTGAAAGATAGTACTGCGAAGATAGCGAAGAATCCGAAGCAAAACAGCCCAATGTGTAGAGCGAGGGGCAGAAACAAACTGACTAATCACATGGACAGCATAGGCAAGATCAAGGCGAGTAACTGTCAGATAGACTAAACAACCCACAAGCTCGCGATATAACGTAGGATCATCTAGAGGAACCCCATCAGTAGTGTTGAGCTTTACATTAAGCTCAATGGGGGTATCAGACAGCTTAGTGTCAGTAAGTCTGGCACGATGGATAACCTCGTTAGCATACTTAGCCTGGGACAGAAAGTAACCCTTGGGAGAAGAAGTCGCCTCAATGCCAAGAAAATACCGCAGTGGTCCCAGATCCTTCATTTCGAAGGTGCGAAAGAGATGCTGCTTGACCTCAGAGATAGCAGAAGAGTCAGAGCCAGTGATGATCATATCATCTACATATAGTAAGAGAGCAACAAAACCAGCCGAGGTATGTCTTAGAAATAAAGCAGAGTCGGAAGCAGAAGGATGAAACCCAAGCTCGATAACGGCAGTCTGAAGGCGATCATACCAAGCACGAGGAGATTGCTTCAGACCATATAGAGCACGCCGAAGACGACAGACTTGGCCAGAGGAATGGTAAAGACCAGGGGGAGGACGCATGTAAACCTCCTCAGTGAGATGGCTATTAAGAAAAGCATTCTTAACATCCATCTGATAAAGAGGCCAAGAAGGAACAGCAGCGACAGAAATCAAAGTACGGACAGTAGTCATCTTGGCAACAGGAGCAAATGTCTAATCATAATCAATACCATACTCTTGGGAGAAACCTTTGGCCACCAGACGAGCTTTGTAGCGCTCAAGAGAACCATCAGAATGAGTCTTGACTTTGTAGACCCATTTGCAACCAACTAGATTCTTACCAGCAGGTAAAGGAACCAACTACTAGTTTTCTGTAGAGCAAACAACTCATCCTCCATAGCTTGAACCCAATGAGGATCCTGACAGGCCTCCTTGTAAGACTGAGGTTCTGCAAAAGAGTGAATAGCAGACAAAAAGGTACGATAGGAAACAGAAAAACAAGTATTAGACCAACCCAACCTTTTTGGAGGATGACGCGTTCGAGGAGGATATCGGTGTGCAGCAGGATCAGAGTCGTCAGAAGCAGGAGGATTAGCAGCAGGGGTAGAGACAACTGGTAGAAGAGGAACCTTGCGATGAGAATAAACTAACAACGGAGGAGAAGAAGGAGGAGAAGGCGAAGAAGGAGAAGTAGTCAGAGGTGAAGCATGAGGAGAAGATGGAATAAGCTCAGGAGGAACTATGGAGATGTACTCATCAGATGGGACCTCAGAAGGAAATGGATCAATATGAACCAAATCCTCTTTGGAAACTGGGGCGGTGAGAGGAGGAAGCTGAAAGTAAGATAGACGTTCGAGAAAGGCAACATGGCGGGAGACATAAAGGCGACGAGAAACAGGGTCATAACAACGATAACCTTTCTGAGTGAGACTATGTCCCAAAAAAACACATAGGACAGACCTGACACTAAGTTTAGTCCTATCTTTACGGGGTAAAACGACAAAACATGTAGACCCAAACACACGAAGGAGGGAGTAATTAGGAAGTTGAGAAAAGAGAGCCTCATAAGGAGACCGACCAGAAAGAAGGGGGGTAGGCATACGGTTGAGAAGAAAAGCAGCAGTAAGAACTGCCCCACCCCAAAACGGAGCTGGAACGAGGGTAGAGAGAAGAAGAGACCTAGCTGTCTCAA